GGGGGATTTCTGGAGTTGGTTGAGATTTGTGTGGACGAAATTGAATCCACCTCCTCCTTCTCTTCGGCAGTAACTCATNTTTCGACTAAAATCATCGATGAGGGTCATGAAATATTTCTTGTTACCATTTGATGCTGGAGAGATGGTACCACATATGTCCGAATGAATCAACTCCAAAATTGCTTGAGCTCTTCTTGATTTTCCAGATGGAAAAGAGTTTCTTTCATGTTTTGCTACTACACAGCTCTCGCAAATTTCCGTTGGTGGAGTAATATCTGGCAACCCAGTTACCATCTTCTTTGAGGACAACGTCTTTAATCCTTTGAAATGTAGATGACCATACCTAAAATGCCAAAGCCAGGTGGTATCTTCTTTCTTCACCATCAAACTTTTGGCAACGATATTTAACGTCAACGGATATAGACGGTTGGTGGTCATCTTCATCTTAGCAATCGATCCTCTTTTGGAGTCATAAATTTCACATTCATCATTTTGGAATGTGATCACACACCCCTTTTCTTGTAACTGACCGATACTAAGTAAGTTGGCTTTCAGATCAGGGATGTAGAATACATTAGAAATAGACTCTACAAAGCCATTTCTAGTCTTGATATCTACGGTTCCTTTCCCCATCACTTGGAGAGTTGAATTGTTGCCAAGAGAAACCGTAGTATGAAAATTTTCATCTAGAGTTGAGAAGAATTCCTTACAACCTGTCATATGATTGCTGCATCCAGAGTCTACGACCCATACACCTTGATCTGCAACCTTCATAGCATGGAATGACATTAATAATGTTTCTTCTTCTCTTCTCTCCACAAAATTGGATTGATCTCTTTTCTCCTTTTGAAGCCTGGTATAGCATTCATTTTTGTAATGTCCAAGGCGTCCACATCTGTAGCATTCCACCTTGGACTTGTCAAAGTGTCTCTTGCCTTTGTTTTCATAATCATTTCTGGCTAGGTCTACTGACCTGCCAACATCTCCACTTCTTTCTCGACTGCCTCTCCCACGACCTCTGCCTCTTCTTTGCCCTCTACCTCTAGGGCTTGAAGATTCACCTGGTGTGGATATTTTTAAGGCTGTCATCTCCTCTATTGCACTTGTACGATTGAGCCTCTGCTCATGTACTAACAGGGAGCTTTGGAGTTCATCTATTTGCATCTCTTCGACATTGTTTGCTTCTTCGATAGAACATACAATGTAATCGAACTTTGAAGTTAGTGATCGCAAAATCTTTTCTACGACCGCAACCTCCGTGATTGAACCACCATGCATCCTCATTTTACTTGCAAGACTTATAACCTTGCCAATATAATCATTCACCATTTCTCCCTTTTGCATTTGGAGAATTTCAAAGTCTCTTCTGACGGCTTGTAGTTGAGCACGTTTTACTCTCGTTGAGCCTTGATACTTCCTCCTCATAGAATCCCAAATTTCCTTGGATGTCTTCTTCTGAAGCATTGTTTCCAAGATAGTCCTGTCAATGGACTGAAATAAATAGTTCTTGACCTTCAGGTCCTTCAGCTTCGATGCTGCCAACAGTTGCTGTTGACCAGCTGAGAGTACCTCGCCTTCATTTGGCTCTTCATAACCCGTCTCCACCATATCAAAGAACTCCTTTGATCTGAGAAAATTTTCCATCAACATCGCCCAATGATCATAGTGACCATCGAACCTCGGGATGGCGGGCTGAACGTAGCTCTCAACTTGTCTTTCTGCTGCCATTTTTTTGCTGCTGCAAGATTGCTCTGATACCAGTTGTTGGTGACAACAGAAAACTGAAGTGAGATTGAGAGGAGGAGTGATTTGAATGACGGGAGGGAGGTCCTTTTATAGGGGGATTTCTGGAGTTGGTTGAGATTTGTGTGGACGAAATTGAATCCACCTCCTCCTTCTCTTCGGCAGTAACTCATTCAACTCATTCAAACTCATTCAAACTCTATTATTAGCTTCAACACATCTTAGAGTTAAAAAACTAAAGATGATTTAACTGTTAGGTTATGGAGCCGGCTGCCTATTTATAGCTCAATCACCAGTGGGTTATACAGAGCAAAGCTAAAAGCTATATTTAGTAGATGATAGAGTAAATTGTCATAATAGTAAATAGTCATGTATAGTAAAAATGTATAGTATATATATATATTCAAAGTGTATTCTCTGTATTCTCTCTTACACTACATATATGAAGTCATTAATACAAAACCTTTAACCAATATTCTCCTTACATTTTTTTATATCCTATTCTTTGTGTTCATCTAGATCAAGTGTGTGCGTTGTTGTGCAATTCTAACATCAACGAGTATGAGGAAGATTAAAGTTTTATAGATGAAAGAAACGTTTAGAAGCAACTGAAGTCAGAGAGAAATTAATGAGGACAAAGATTTCTTCCCCACCACAAACAAGTGCACATAAGATGTCCTTAAGACATTGATATGACTTTTTGGACTCTTAAGAGATAAACATATGAAAAGATACTTCTTTTGGTGTCCTATATTAATGGGATGCTCCATGTGTAACTCTAATCCACTTAGCTTGGTAGGGCCAAGAGATTGCCCTTTGAAGAAAAAATGACACATTTTTAAGGGAAGATGTCGACTAATTACTAAGTTCTTGAACGAGGTAAAGTTGTTTCTCTCCTGAACTTCGGTAAAGCTGCTTCTTTTATCTCCCAAGTCATCATAAAAAACTCTCACTTTTTCGAAGCGCTATTTGTCCCTTTCTGTGTCTATATTAGTTTAGGTCTAATGAGATCAACAAAATTCTTAACGAACTAGTTTCATCTAGTCCTATTTTCCTTTTTAAATCCAACCTTATTCTATTGTATCTCCCCCAGAAAACTCTCAATCTCCAAGCCCCTTGTATAGGCTGGGTAAGTTTGGATGCCACGAGTAATCTTTAAATTGATATATTGTGATTTTTATTCAAGTGTTGATAAAGGGTGGCCAAAGAAACAATATTCACCTTAACCCAATGTACAAATCTTTAGTACATAATATAATTTCGAAGTTCTAAATATCTGAATTTAATAAATCGAGAAAGTTGTTAGATTGAGAAACAAAATTATTACAAACGGAGAAAATTCAAAACTTTACTAAACAGTTATACATGATGCTAACAAAAAAATATTTACTCTAGTGATCAAGAATGACGTAAACTTAAAAATATAGTCGCCCTTATATTAATACATCAAATTAGAAGCATAGAAATAGAAAATTTATAAACCAACTATATTTCTTTCTCTGAAATACAAAGTTAACTTATTAGCGCAGCTCAACTTGCGGACACGTATATCAAGAGAACGAAAGTTTGAGTTCTCACTCAACATATGTTTCAACTTTAAAATAAGTTTAATTTTTGTGATTCTCGTAAAAGAAAATCGTAACAACAAAGATATAAGGTGAAGTACATTGGTATGCATGACTCCTAAGTTCTAGACTACCCTTATCTAAATTATAGATCATGTTGTTAGATGAACTTTGTTGAATTGTTTTACCGGTTGAGATGGTAAATCACATTCATTTTACATATTTATTAATCCGTGTTTCATAATCATTTAAATCACAATTAGCCTTATTTTTTCGTACATGATTCCTCGAAAACCAAGAAGAAGAATCACAAGGAGGCATATGTTCCCATTGCTCCTATGGAATGTCCAACTAACCACATCTTAAAAGGTTGAGATTGAGATGCTCGAAAGGAATCTAATATAAATCAAGAAGGTAGGAAAGTAATCGGATTAATAAAATCAATTTGAGCATAGTTCAATCAACAAATAATATCTCGACCAAAAGCTCAAAAGTTGCAACCTCCACCTAATCACTGTTAGAATTTTTTTCGTTTTTCTCTCTTTTTTTTTTTACATTGAACCGAATAGAATAAATTGTTTTCTCTCTTTTTCCACATTGATCCGAATAGAATAAATTCTTTTAAACAATGTCGGTCTTTCATTTGGATGTCTATCCAAGAATGCAGATTCGCTATATACCCGCTACAAGAAATTCTTGGCTGTCTATATAGAAAAATATAATTAAAATGTTCAACCGTAACTTCAAAAGACTTAAATTTCAATATTACAACCTAAATTTGAATATAAGTTTAAAAATACTACATATAATTTTTGTTTGGTAACTTCATGAAGGCATGTTATTTGTCCACCTCTATTTCTAACATTGGGTAACATTATTTCCTTTCTTGATTGGACAAGAACGTTATGGATCTCTTTTAGACTCTAATCGAAATAGATTTATCTTCTAGAATCCAATAATTTTTTAAAATTTATTGATGATTAATGCTTTATACATAAAAATGGATCTCATGACCAATCTAATTTGAAATCGCAAATCCAAATTTATCTATAAATAATAGATCAAGTACTCTTGTACATTAAAAATAGGATCGAATCCAAACTTTTTTTTTTCAAGTGAAATTTCATAGTACAAATGCCAATGACCATTAAAGTCTCACTACCTTAATAACACTTGAGAAAAGCAAACAAAATAAATCATAGTATCACAATGACCTATAACATATATATATATATATATATATATATATATATATATATATATATATATATATTATTTTATTTTTTTGTTATCATCAACAAAATAGAGTCACATAAAACATAAACCAATTCTTTAAAATAGAATCACATAAAACATAATCAACGAAGTCCTTTATACCAAAGATAGTCGTGTTGCAACTCCTAATTTTGTGCAAGAGCATCCAATCACATCAATATAGAGTATTTATAAGTCATTCATCACACTCCTAATTTTGTGTAAGAGCACCCAATCACGTCAATATAGAGTATTTATAACCAAAAGGTTCAAATACAACTTAACTACTAAATCAGCCAAGTTTCACATACTATATCACAATTTCATATATATTGAACACTTCTTTTATAAAAAAAAAAAATGTAATGCATCTAGGAAAATGCTACTTATATTAATTATAAATATCTTAACATAAAATGCTACATTCTTTTTTTTTTTCTTGATCTCAATGCAAGTAAAGAGTTTGTATTCAAAACACCTCCTAACAATATAAAGCACAAGGGTTCATAAAGAACATAAGCACATATATACTAGATATAGAAATGAGACAACCTTAAGGTACACAAACCTAGGCCACAGCCACAGCCACAGCCACAGCCACAGAGCCAATTCGCAAAGCCTGTACGAAAAGTAGAAAGTAATCACCAAAATAAAAAAAATTTCTCGGACCAAGCAAAGGAGAGGTGCCAACAAACCAAGGCCTGAGTAACCATTTGGGCTTCTGTCCTAAACCACAAGTTTACATTTCTTGAGATCTGAGTTCCATGTGGAGGCCTAGAAGTTCTATCGAGGTTTTTGTTTTTAAAACGAGTGCCATTTCTTTAGCTTACAACATGAAAATAAACTACATAATCTAACTTCCTAACTCTACAAAATTTCAGGCCACAAGCGACAGTACATAGTGTAATAAATCCAAACCAACAAGACAAAAGAAAGTGGATACAAGAGAGCAACAAAACCCTGTTTTTAGTGGATTTTAAAATTTTGGTTCCTTGAATGTCACTTGAAAAGAACGTTGAGATATAAATGATGTACTTTAGTTCCATGAAGACTTCACCAAAGCTTAGAATTTGGATATAACTTAGAAAATGAAATTCTTTCCCAAATTTCTAACCCACCTTACACCAAATTGACGTCATAATCTCCAATTTAATTGGGAGGGGGACAGATGTTTATAGTTCCCATGGCAATCATTTGTAACTGAAGTTTCCAGGCTTTTGCAATGCTTAAAAATTTAATAAGGTAAGAGATGTGAATGACAATCGTGGTAGACAGAATTGCACAAGTCCACAAGTCATTGCTGCATGGCCGTCGGTCCATTACTATGCTTCATGATAGCACAATTCTGAACATTTTTGTGTCTTGACTAGAATCTATTGACAAGTCACATCAGACTCATCATCACCGGACTCCCAAATACATTGGCGGCTATACCGTGATTAGATAGTTAAATATCCGTAAATATAGAATTCCCAAATAATGGAAATGTCGTTGTGAAGATATATATAATTACAAAAAAGGGGCAATGCTGAAAATAACTTGCAGGTCATTGTTTGTATGGTTAACATTTCTAATATACACATTTAGTTCCAACAATTGTAAGGTTAGATTCTAATATTCATATTTCATCATTATTTTTGGAAAAATATATTGCTCTCATATATTTATGCCTAACCCTTCCGTTTTTTAAAATATTGACGGAAATTTTGGTCGTATCCAAGCAAATTTCCCTTGCCACAATGTTACCATAAATCAAGAATTTTTTGATTGATGTTCCCATAAATTAATAAGAAAATTGACCATGATAATGCCAATTAATTAAGGTATGGATGGATTATTGATACAACGCCCAACAGATGAAATGTTTGAAAAAGGACCAGACCGAGACCAAAGAAATGAATGGGTTGGGGTTTGAAGGGAAGAGAAGTCATACCAGAGAGCCAAAAGCCAACCCCAGCTCTCTCAGCAGCGAAGGTTCCACTTTGGGTATCAATTCCTGCGATGGTAAGAAACCATAAAAAGAAGAATCCACTAAAAATATAGCTGCAACTTAATGCTTCTCAAACTAATATCCGACATGGTAAATAAAACTAATGAATTTCAACTCTTTCGAGTGTGTCTAAGATTGCTAGTGATAAAAATAATTGTTTGGAAGCAAAGCTTCACCACATGCGTCCACAAGTATCTGAAAGTTTGCCAAAAAGAGCACAATCGTCTCAATAACACAAGTTCTAGGCTTTATACTCCTGAAGAACTGTTTTTCCATGAAGATTGACAAGTACTTATGTTCTTTTACTTGAAACAAACTTCTGTGGAAAACCCAACAAGGAGCTTCAAACTAGTCTCGATAGAAGAACAATAATGAAGACGCCAAAAAAAAATCAAAACGTTGTCCTCTCACAATATGCATGTTCTGAATGTTCAAAAATGTGTATATTGCGATTATGGAACCAGTGGTCAATGTAAAATCAGATGCTCGGAATTTATCCTCCTTTTTTTGTGGAGGGGTGGATGAACCTTGGCAATTATTTTTCGTAAATATCAACTTCCTCTGACTTTTACGATGGTATCACTCCCAAGGTTGGTCAGCATACTCATTTTATCTTTTATTGAATAACAAATCAAACATGTTTGTACAAAAAATCAATATCCAAGGATCGTGTAAGCAAAACAAAAATTGACTTTACAGTATCTAAGAGGAGAGACTCATCTGCAATATAGAGATATCTATAAGAATGAACAAGGTCAGAAATTCATCACTGGAATGGCAAAATTGTCTGCCGTGTAACAGTCATCCGGCCTCTACCAACAATCATAATCAATAGCCTGAAAACACAAAGAGATTTCATTAATACTCACAATTCATGAAACCAACAATGTCTCACTCTTCACAATATTACCCAGCGCCATCAAGCAATATTCAGCAATATTCACAAGAAAGCATGAATTTTCATGTACATTTCATTCGAGATATAACTGCTCCAACAATGTGCCAATAGCAAATACTAACAATTTGCCATGTAAGAAAAATGAAGACCGGATTCTACTTGGACTCCAACAATTTTGTGACAGAATAGGATGAGACATAAAATATCCAAACAAGTTTTATAAAGATACAAATACTTCTACCACGGTGATTTAATTATAAAAAGATGAAAATTTGAAATTTACAAGAGGATAAAATAGTTTTCAATGATCGCAAGACCAACCACCTCATGGACAGGCCAGCTAGAAATAACACTCCTATCCTCTCCCTCCAAGTGTTTTACTGACTTGTCAATTGAAAGATATAAAACACGTTCATAAAGAAGCTCAATATTTTCACTCAATTTATTTTATTGGGTGGTTGTCTACAATCAGGATGTTTAAGTCAGTACCAATATCCCCCATAACGACTTGCTAAGAAACCATGCCTGTATCCATCGTTCATATTTAAAACCATTGCTTGAGTACGAGGCATCGGTACCAATAAATAAAAAAAAATTACCTCAACCAACTTTAGTTCGGAGATTTGGAGCATGACAGAGTGCGCTGAAAAGCATGCAGCTGCAACATGCAACCCTTCATCGCATGGCAAAGGTAGATAATTTAGACCTCAGAAAGGACCAAGTTTTATCACGCTTCTTCATCCACATAATTTTGACAAGACTTCATGTCCACTACATAAGAATAAGAAACTTATAGCTGATTCGTGACTGAAGAACTGAACCAAATATACAAGTAAAAAACAATATCACACTAGATTAAAACAATGCACAAATGATACTACAAATATTCGATCAGAAGATGGAGAGGCATGGGAAAAGCGGCATGAGCTGAGGCAGATAAGATATTTCAAACAAAAACGACATAAATTCTGTTTCTCATCCAGAAAAAAAAAATAACTTAGTGAAGGCATGACCAGGAGATGATGCTCCTCCAAATATACAAACTTTGCATCCTCCATAACCAACGCTGATATCTTCAAGAACATGAACTGAAGGTTTTGACATATAACTGATTTTTCTTTCTCAGATTTCTCTCTCTGCATTGCTCTTTGATTTTCAAATCTCTCTCTCTTTTTTTAATTTAATTGTTGTGCCCTACTTTTTCATCTTCTTTCTCTCACTCGTTCCTTTTATCCTTCTCTTTTTTCTAAACAAAACAGAGATAAAAGGTGTCTATGAATAAAAAGGATTTTTCTATCTCCGATTCTTGCATTAGACTCAACACTATGACCCAGCAACATGGAAGTTCAATGTATCTAAATACAGTCAATGTCATTGATATCCCCATGAAGGAACACGGTAGTAAAAACAAATTTGATCATTTTGGCGATTCCAGCCTTCACAAGGGAATCACATAAAGAAACAAAAAAAAAAAAAAAAAAAAA